TCTTTCCCAGCATGAGGCAAAAGCAAGGTGAGATTTCGAAACGGTCCTCTTCTTGCAGTACAGTGGTGTCATAGGGCACCCTTTTCTTCTTTGTGGAGGGTGGTGAAAGCTGTCTGTTACTTGCCGTTCTGCTGGCATTTTCTGACTTCTTGGCACAGTTTGATACTATTTAGTGTTCTCTTATTGCGTGGATTGTTATTAACAGCCACGGAGAGAAAAGCATACGTAATTTCATTAAGAAACAGTTGGAGAAAAAAAATTTTGCAATGATTGACCTTTCCCCTTAAAATGACCAAATTAATGAACATAACTAACAGATGATATTATAAACTGGAATACTATTATAGAAATATATAAAAGTGTTTGTAGGAGTTAAGCAAAATCCATGTCATACTTGCAAATAGCAATATCAAATATGGAATTTTATATCTCTAAACTAGTTTTGTATAGGACACTGAAATAAATGATTTTAATGTTCTTCATTATTATACTGAAGAAACTGTACTACTCTTCTGATTTTCAGTTTCCAACTTTTTTAATTTTTCAATATGAGGAGGTAGCGGAATTACATGTCAGAAATAAAAAAAATATATGTTTTGCCTTCAGACTGTTGATCATGACATTTAGTTTTCTCTTTTGTGTTGCTTCATAGTATGCAAAATTATTGCCCTATTATTGAAGGGATGAAGAAATTTAACATTTGTTATGCCCATGGAAAAATGATATTTTCATGATCATCAGCTTAAATGAGGTATATACAATAAGACTGATTAAATTTGTCGTAAAATCTGTATGAGTCTAACAGTTTTTCTTCTGTGTATTCTGAAAAATCTTCTCTTCCAAAATAGCTTTGATGAAAACTGGTGTCGGACTGGTAAAGTAGTCCTGTTCATTTAAAGGCATATATATATATATATATATGTACAAGTGACTATGAAGCTTTGCACATTTTTTGTTTAATGATTATTGAGCATTATAACATAATTTCAAACGAACTATGAGTTTATAGAGTAAGATACTCATTGAATAATTTTGAAAGATAATTTATTGAAGGAAAGTGCAAAATATCCCTTGAATTTCAGAAAGAGAAAGACAGCCTAAAGTAGGCAAATACATTGTTCTGTTTTGTTCAGTTCCTGCATCATCATAGTCCTTTTATCTCAGCTGAATTGCTTTGGCTTAATTAAGACAATGAAGTGAAATTCAACGTCCCATATAGAAGGTATCAGATCTAACATTGTCAGGTGCTCCTTAAAAACCCGAAAGCAGGAAAGCATAGAGAACATCAACTATTTTTATCTAGAGAATAGTTTTAAGTTTCACGTTTTCTGCCGTCAGTTTTCACTAGCTTTCAGTGCCTCAGACCCTTACGTGGATATTCTCACCCCATGCTCCTGCAACTTGTTTAGAAGTTCGTCTCTGGAAGTTAACCAACCCTAGTGTTCATACAGGCTGTGCTATTCCACGTCAGTAATCTGTTTGGCTGATATTTTCTATCACAATGAAATAGAGCTTAGTAGAAATCTATTTTGTTAAATGTAATAAAATCACTTAATATTTTGTAGTGTTTGTGTTTATAAAGAGAGTAATGGATGGTAACGTAGTTTTCTAGGATGTTTTCAGTGAACTTCCTTCATCCTCTTGTTTAACTCATTCAGCATTACAATGATAACTTGGAGGAATAGATTTCTCTGTTTATCATTGCTTAAATGTATCATCTCATTACTTAAAAGCAGCTCTGTGCTTAAATAAATAAAAATTACTCTTTATATGATAAAAATCTCTATTTCTTTACATTAATAAATCAGGAGCTGAAGACTATTTTTATTTTTGCTTTATTTCTGTTTGTATTACGTTTGTGAGAAAATTCAGACAAACAAAAAAACATGAGCAGTCATATGCCTTATTGTTTTCCTTTTCTTTATATGCACTGTGTTTTCTTAACGCTTGCACAAACGTTCTTTCTCCTTAATTTAACTATACTGGTAACGTCATGTGTATTATGTGGGAGACTGCAGCATTTCCTTAAATGCCCATGTTGAATGTTTCCATGGCTTTTGGATGTCTGTACTTTTCAGGGGTCTTGGGTTTACCCAATTCACTGTAGGATGAATACTTGAGAATCAAACCCTCCTCTACTTAGATAAAATTATTGAAGCTGAATTTTTGTAGGTCTCCAGAATTATTTCTCTAAGAGGCTATCAGGTTTCCACTGAATATAGTACAGATCCAGATAAAGATCTTGAGGCAACTCTGTGTAACTTTGCATAGCTTTCGCTAGTAAAGAATCTTACTTGTGTAAAATAGCTTGTTATGCAGTCCCATGTCTAGTCCAGAAGATTAGACTAGCATGGCAGCTACCAAGTCTGTTGTTCTGTGAATGGGCAAAATTGTGTCATTAATCTAGGTTTTGGGGTGTAACAATACCATTTATTTGTTGTTAAGTTTCAGAAAGTTGGGTAGGAAACTGTAAACACTGTGTGTAGCATAGCTGATATCTAGGTGAGTGAGAAAGCCTAGAAAAAATTCTTCCTAATTACAGTGATTATCACACCATAAGACTTTGACAAGACTCCTAGAAAAGGAATCCCGAGAAGAATATGCTCCTTACCCTAAGCTAAACTTGTACTTAGGACTTAATGATCTCCTAAGAAAAAAGTTTTCTACAGCGCCACTCTCTGTGCATCTGCGTTCTTCTCCCTGTCTCCCTAGTAAGTACAGTGGACATGATTCATGTTAAAATGTTTAAGAGTGTTGAAAATAGTGTCGGTAATAGAAAGTTTGTTCTTGAGTAGTATAGTGCATGCTACTTTGTAAATGAAATCACCTTACACTTGTTTTGCACATTTTCCCTAATAGATCCTAACAAGCTACTGTGCTTGTATTCCCAAGAAATTTATATATTTGTAAATTACAGAATTATTATTGTTTGTATTCCCTGAATATGCATTCTTGGGTTTTTTTTAAAATAGGCCTTGATGATTGCCTCCAACAATACATAAAGAACTTTGAAAGGGAAAAGATCAATGGGGAACAGCTGCTACACATCACTCATCAAGAGCTTGAGGAACTGGGAGTCACTCGCATTGGCCACCAAGAACTGATACTGGAAGCAGTTGATCTGCTATGTGCATTGGTAAGTGATTTCCTAGGTCACCCATCTTAATAATGTAGCCTTATAAATTTGCCAGCTAAAAGTAAAATAACTTAGACTGCACTGTACAACTACGTACTTGTATAAACACTGTGGCTTTGCTTCGTTAAAGGACAGACAAGCAGAGGTCTCCTTCAACTCTAAAGAAACTAACCATATCCATTTTATGATTATGTGTGATGGTCTCTTATTGCTCTTCCTCTAAATTCCTTGGTCCTATATTCACATGCAGTTGACTATCAATGCTGGCATCCATGTGGCTCTGTGATTGTATGCCATATGGCCTCATATCACTGATGTTCACCACGCTATACTAAACCAAGTAGATCTGAGTGTTTCAACTATGCCAGCGTTCAAAGAGATAATACTAAGATATTAGAAGGTGATGTTAATTAGACTAGAAGATTGTGTAAAGTGACCTTTAAGACAGAATTGGAATGATAAAATCAACTTTGTCTTAAGTATAGGCACACCTGTGTCTGTCTGTTTTTGTTTCTTTCTTTGTTTGTTTTTTAAGTAACTTAGAAAAATTCAAGTCTGGAAGAAAACTAGTCTTCCATTTGACAAGTTTTGTTAGCCTCTAAACAAAGTACTTGATATGGGAAAAGGCTGTGTTTTTTCTTCTCAAATTTAGCTTCTAAAAACAGCTAATAAAATGAAATGTATTAACTTATTTCTAAAGGAAAAAAACACTTACTTTTGCTTATGTAAGTTAACAGCTGAAAGGATATTGAAGATATAAAATGTAAAACAGTAAAATTAAGTAGATAAATTACATGTGACAGTCTCAGTATGTTACTACTTTACCAGGGGTTCTACTTTTGCACAAACTGGTTTATCCTGTGAGATTTTGATATGAAAAATTGTCTCCAACAGGGAAACTGGCGTTTAACTTGGCAGTAAAACAGAAATCGGTCTGGAAAAATGCACTTTGTATTATACAAGAAACAGTATGAAGTACCTTCTAATATGTATCTGTGCTTCTTGTAGACCTGTCTGATCATTAAATATACTTGATTTAGCTTTAGCTATACTTTTGCAAATCAAATAACATATATGTCAAATAAGAGAAATACTATTGGTCTTCATGCAAACATACCTGTAAACTGGTGCATATTGCATTACAGGATTTTTTTTTTTTTGGGGGGGGGGGAGGGGGGTTGGAAACATCAAAAATCAGCCTAGAATTTTTTTCACTGATTCATTACTTTTCACGTAAACGGAATCTAAATACCACAGAATGTTATATTATCTAATGAGCAATACAGTGCTATGCGCTTAAACGAAGTCAAAAAAAAGTCACAAGAAGTTTCCTCTGGAAAAAAAAAAAAGCTCTTCAGTCAAGTGTGCCCATTAGGAGGACCCTTGCTGATTTTTTTTTTTAACAAAGAAAGTGTACCTCTTAAATGTTGGCCCCCTTGCTGGTGAACAGTGTAGCTCTTCCCTTACTGTGCCCTCTCATGACCTTGTTGTTTTCTCTTTTATAGCAGGGATGGGGATTTTCCAGCTCCTGGTATCATTTGTTTAGCCTCCTGCCTTTAAGCCCTTACCCTTCCTTCCCCACTCTGTCTCTAAAACTCCTGCGTTCTTTTTCCCTACTTCTGCATCTTTATCTTCCTTCCCATTTGCTGCGCTCTCTACTGAGTGAGTCTCTGCTGCCCGCGGCTCTGCCCACAGGGGTGTTCTCTTGCTTCTGATGTTTCTCCCTTGCTGCCATGCACTACACATTCTTCAATCCTTGAAGCTTCTTACTGAGCAAGGATCATAAGTAAAAGTTTTACAAAACTAAGTCTTATATCTATTTTTAAATGTTAATTTTTTTAGGAATTTAATCTCTGTGACCAAAAGCATCACTAAGAATTTCTCTTAATCTAAATAATGGCAACAATTAAATGGTAGGATATCTGAGGCTGCCTTTACTAACACCTGAAATACACTTCTAACATGTTACAATTATCTTCTGATTCTATGCTAAATCTTGAAACATTAATAGATTATGGCACTGAAATGTTAGATGATGACACCCATTCTAGGTGATCAATGAGAATTGTGAACTGGAGTTCATAGCTGTAAAGGATCTTTAATATAGCAGGTAGTCTAAAAAACAGAAAAGAGCTGATGAAGAAAGAAGACAGATCTCTATCTTGCTTATGCCACTACAATCAGCTAACATATATGAAATGGTTTGAATCAGAATGTCTCAGGGACTATTACATTTCAGCCCTAAATTCCTGAGTTATCCTATCAAGCAAAAACTTAAGTTAGAATGCAGACTAGAATACAGACTAGAATATGGTAATGCCTTGTGTGTGTGTTTGTATATATGTGCAGTGTATGTAAAGTACAAATTAAGTATATTTGTAGATGCATACATACATTTATATATACATTTACTTAAAAAAAGTTTCTCAAAGCTGAAAGCTGGTTGTGAACAAAATTGAGAGGAAACATCGGTTTAAACAATCTGCTCTAAAATTGCATACGTGGGGAGGCAGAGTTGCAAAGGAAGCAATAGTTCATTTCCCTCCCTCCGTTAGCATCATTCGGCATAGCGTTCCTGGTTATATGCTGTGGAGCATCTACAGTGCTATGCACACCCTATTTTCTTCCTATCCAAATCACTGACAGTTGCAGTCCTGCTTACATCAATAAATGTCAGTACAGCTTTGTACTCTGCATTATCATCCACTCACTGGGCCATATCACTTATCATTGATTTTTTTTTTCCATACATGGAATTTCTAATTGATTTCTGTTTGACAATCAGCAGCATCCCAGTTATGTGACCTATTTCCTACAGTGGTACCACGATGTTCCATTCTATCTTAGCTAGGTAGTTTGTATAACGTTTTAGACTGAAGCGTCTCCAAGATACTGTAGATGTCTTTCAGGTCAACTTAGGCTTAGTGATGCATCAGAAATTCGGCTGCGCATTGGTCATAAGTTCAGTTGCAGAGCAGCTGTTGCTTCAGGAAACAGAAACGTGAGCGTCTTAGCTCGAGCTTTTGGAATGCTCTGGAAGTGCATGTTGCGATGCCGTATTTTCCATATGCGCACCCTAAGGGCTTGGCCATCAGCCCACTGGCTTTTGGGGTTTTTTCTTGTTTGTTTGATGGGGTTACGCATCAGAGTAATGCTTCTGCTTCTATCTCTATGATGAAAACTGTTACACATCATATACATAACTAAATGCTGGTCTATAATCAGGCTTCAAAGTGCAAGAGCAAAGCAAAAGATAAAGGAGGGATGTGTTTTCTTTGTTCCTTACCCTGAACCACCTGTTAACTACACTCAGATACAAATTGTTGAAGGCAGGAGAGGTTTACTTGAAGAACTTATTACACGTTTTCCCTTGAAGTTATTTTATATTCGCTTTTCACAAATAAATATGAAAAAATTCTGAAGTCCTATTTATGTCTGAATTAATTGAATCAAACCATAATATTATTTCTGAATAAAATCAGAAGAGACATTACTAGTATGCAGAGTCATGGAACATAATTTTCCTTTTGAAAGCTGAATTCAAAGTTTTCTTTAACTAGGTATTACTTATGAGAATCCTACATAGAAAGTATCCTGTGTTGAAAGGAGACAAACAAAAACAAGCGAGCAAGAAGCATAAAAAATGTTAATAGGGAAAAATACAAGTATTTGATAGGCTCATGCATAATAGAAGTGGCAGTATGGTGATTTGGAAGTATATGGATTTTACTTTACAGATTAAATAATTTAGAATTATAATCTGTTTTTGGAAAAATAAAATCAAAGGTCAAAAGGTGAGAATATTTTTCACTAGAGGAAAGCATACTGACACTTTCCTGGATTTGCTGAGGCTTGAATTTGTACTGTGAAAGCAGAAGTCATAGAGGAGCCCTAATTTCAATTTCAGTTCTTTAACCATTCTAAAAAGATAGCTTTTGAGTGGGCCTGATAAATTCCAAAATCTTTAGTGGTGTTTTAATTAAGAAGATAATTTAAGATGATGCCTGCGGGGGGGAAAAAACCCTATCTTAAAGATCAAAGTTCTTTCTTGCTAGTATGGTCAGAAGCTGCTCTGCAGTTGTTTATTTGAAGTCACCTAAATAACATCTATAGACTTAAAACTGCATGCTGTTTAGGATTTGAACTGTAATTTTGTTAAAACTGAAATGCTAATCTGGGTGTTTGTGGAACTCCTCTTCTGCTATAAAGGCATTGGCCGTAAGGTGGATACTCTGAAGGTGTAGTAAAGCCTGGGGAAAATCGGTGATAAACAGTAAAATATATTGGAAATAAGAAAAGGAAGTACTTTGGGGGTCAGCATGGGATGCTATTCAAATATATGCATGTAAATTTAATTAGGACAGTATTGGAGGTCACTTTGTTTTAAAAGCCCCCTAAATTAAAATATAAACAGTGTAGTAAGGAGAAAAACTTTGATAATGAATTGTAGAAAAATAAATGTAAAGAGAAGTAAAGTATACTCAAATATAAATTGTACCTAAAGTAATTAAAAATAATGTTAATTTGTAGGCATAAGCTAGTGAAATGAGGCACTGTGCAGTGATAGCGTTCAAAGAGAGATCAGAAAAGATCTCTCTGCAGTTATTGCAAAGGCCATCAATCCATACATGATCCTTTTTTGTTGTTGGTTGTTTTTTATATTACTTCTAGGGTATTCCTAACAAATTCATATGAATTTTTTTCCAACTTATTTCTTCATTAGTTATCTCTTTCTTTGACAAAAATTACAACAGTAAGAGTATTTTATGTTGATCAGAGACTAAAAGCAGTTTGCAATAATTTATTTTGAAGTACACCGTGCTAAAGAAGCAGCAGGCAGTCTTTTGTAGCTGTCTGTGTACCTCTCAATAAAAATGTTTCCTCAGAATTAAAGTTATTCAAGTTTTGGTTAAACTGATACTACTTTTCAGTGACCACCTTTCTCTAGACCCTTTCGTCTTTCGTTCTGCTGATATTTTTTTGATTTGTAAATACTGTGA